ACATGGAGGAGGATCAAGCCATGAGGGCAAGGTTCGAGGAATGGATGAAGGCGTATGGAAGGACATACAAGGACGAGGTGGAGAAGGCTAGGCGGTTTAAAATTTTCAACTCGGTTAGCAGGTGATTTGCAAAAATGGGACTCGAAACATCGGTGGTTTGCAGATTTGACACTGGACCAACATTCATAAACACAGATTGACCACTTGTCATCCACCCGAGTGTCATTATAATCAAGGAGTCAATCTTTCAAGTGTCATTTTTGCAATTTTTTCGGTGCAGAGCCCGTTTTGGCCTGAATGAGTATTCAGACTGGAACGCCGAAGAAGTTGCTTGGCTGTCTGGTATTCCAGCCTGGAGGGATGGTGGGTACTTCAAAATGGTCATGTCTTATCTTGCTCCGCAGGAGATCTGGCATCAGGTCGGCGGTGCCAATAACAAGGTATATATTCCCAATTTCACCTATACAAGTATCTTTGTTTGTCTGATAGACATGTACATTGACTGGAGAAGCCCTCTGTTCCAAAATGTAACGTGTTTTTGGAACGGAGGGAGTAGTAACCTATCTTGTACTTCCTGTGACTCTGTTTAAAGTCAGCAAAAATTAAGTGTTATTTCCCGATTGGCTTCTCACTTGTGAAGCAATTAGCATACTAGCTTGGCCTTGAATTCCATGTTGTGCTAGGATGAATAAGAAATGAATTTTTGAACTACCTAATTATCTGAGCTAGTTTTAGTTAAAGAGAAATGTGCACTGGTTAGATACCCAGATCATGTCTTGGATGCTGGCATTTAGAAATGATATTTCTGTTGTGCGGCTTCACAATTGTAAGTTCTCAATTGTTGATTGATTGCCGTATTGATCACTCGCTAAGAACTTGTAAATTAGTTTGATCTTGACACAGAAATGGCCTTTATTCAGCCGAGCTAACGTCAATCATGTTTGTTGACAAATCAAATACGCCCTATAAATGTAGCTTCATAAATGTGGTATCAATTTTGCACTTTGATGCTTACGTTTTTGTGTATTTTCTTCTTGGAGCAAAGTAGTTGGAGAATTTTTTTGTTTTCCTTTCCAGCCAAAACTGTTTGCTATTGAAATCTTTGTTTTTCTGTAATTTTCGGATCATATTAGCCGCTTCATTGAGGAACACTGGGGTGGGCCTTAAGAAGTAAATTTTGTTTTATAGGCTGACAGCTACAGCACATAACCAGCTATAGTTTCTGTAACTTGTGATGATTATGTATTGGTACAGTAGCAGTATGAAGGTTGATTTCAGCAGACTGGCTGTATCTGAAAAGTAAATTAATTTGGGTGCAATGTAGAGTTTTAACCATTTTTCTAGGATAAAAAAGTTCACCTGTGTAGTGCAATATTTGACCCTAGTACCTAGTACACAAACTTGAATGTTCCTTGCTCAAATCTGCCGATACTTTGTTTTTTAGTCAACTAGCGGAGGAGGGATCAAATCGATCCCAACCTCCACAGATCCCGGCAAACCGGTGAATGAAAGAGTGCAATGCACCTATTACAGAGACGATCTTTGGAGGTCACAGAATTACATGACATAGAGAAAGAGAGAAGAAATACAACACCAGCAAAAACAAAACAAACAACAATTACATGACACAGCCACAGGCTTAGCATACATCCAAAGCTAGTGCGAGCACCACATTCCCGACCTGTGCCACCACCAAAGACAGACTCTCAAAAACTCTAACCACAGCAGCTGTAAGCGAGTCGGGTCTGACAGACGTCAGCTAGGAAGTTGTAAGGCACTGAGTCAGAACAAGCTGGTGACAACCGTGAGTTGCATCGTCTATGAGAGCATCTAGGTTCCGGCCAACGCTCACCAACACTATTTGAGGAAGGAAGCCTCAAAAGGGAGGAACATCAAGAGGAAACGAGGAGATACAGAGATGAGATCAAAGTCCCCACAGCCCAGCATATAATGAGACGAAGTACTCAAGTGAACTAGAGGATGACAGAGAAAACTGTTGACGGTGAACACTTGGCGACAGGCAATTCGTGCAAAAGCCAAGAAGGTAGGAGGGTAGTTAGACCAATAACAAGAAGGGGAGGGAGAGCAACTAGAGAGAACACAAGCGGCCTGTTCGCTGGTTGGTTTCTGAACTGATAAGCCCGGCTGATATTGATTTATTATGGAAAAAAAACACTATTGACTGACTGATAAACCCTGGCTGAAACACACGAGCGAACGAGGACACGCCGAACAGTAGCAGGCGTGGAGCAATCAGGAAGAGCACGAGGGCATAGAGGGCGCGGACGGGGAGCAGGTGTACTTGTATCGATGCCTTCCAGAAAGGCGAATGACATCCACGCACGCCACCATCGATGTTCGGAGCACCAGGGTCGAGAGGGCTTTCGCCTCGAGACCTGCTTAGCTGTGGAGTCAACATCGACGCCTCCAGGGAGGCAAATGACGCCGTTTTGCGCCATCATCGATGGCCTGGAGTACCGCCAGGCAGGGCTTTCGCCCAGACTCCGTATGGCTGCGAGCGTGAGCCTTGAGCGCACCACGGCAGGCCGAACTTGCAGACAACGACGAAGAGCCTGGTGCCTGGCGAGTGACCGTGAGGGTGCCTGCCCGCGTTGTGGCCGTCCGGCTGCGCGACTCCGTGGCCTTGAGGCCGCTGGCCAAGAGGCCCGCGACGCCGCCGGTGCGCCACCACCCTGCAGTCCCACCCAGGACCGCGTCTTTGGAGGGGCTAGTTGTTGGCCAGCGTGGGCGCAAGAAAGCTGGGCAGGGACCTGGGGACGCCGAGTAGCGCCTGGATGCGCGCGGGATTGGCGAGGGCGGCGGCGGCACAGCCCTGCTCCTCCTCGACATTGTGCAGGAAGGCCTTGACCTGGCCGCGCAGGGGCGCCTTCTCGGAGCCAGGCGTGCAGCGCGGGGCCCTGCGGTGGGTCTTCGCGGCGGCGGCTGGCACTCGCCCAGCTTCTCCCCTGCCCTGGAGCACATCCGCGCTCGCGCCGTCGGCTGCTGAGGAGCTGAGCGAGCAGCGCGCGGCGCCCCGTCCTTCCACCGTGGGTCAGCATCCTGGGCGGCTCCGTCGTGCAAGCGAGCAGAGGACCCGGCCGTGTCGTGCATGCCTGAGCGCCTGTCCGCCGCGGGTCGCGCGGAGCGGCGACGCCGCCGCCGAACCACGCGCGGTCCTCCAACCCCTCGCGACGGCCAGGACCCGGACCGGCTTTTGACCGGTCCTGATTAGCATAATACTGGAGTTATTATGGTATGAGCTATCTTCTGAGGGTGGTCGACGTTGAAGTTAATATAAATGGGAATTTATGAGGCTAGGAGTTTGTTTTCCTATGAGACAATTGCACTCTTGTCCTAACTTTGTTGATCAACTCTAAATCCCCAACATTCATAGTTACACTGAGTCGTTCCCTCGCTGGTAGATTAATATTCGTAGGCCCCAGAATGCGTCTCCATTGGTAGGATTCAGAATGCTTTTCCATCTGTTACGGCAAGTTCCTTGATCGGTAATTGGAATATATCTCTTGTTCAACTAATTATGCCGTTCTTTAATCGTGAATTCTCTAATTGGAATGTATCTCCTGTTCAACTAATTCTAAACTATATTTCAGGCATTCTTCTCTGACATGTCCGTTTTTTATATTTCAGGCATTCTCTTTCCATTTGTTCTTCTATCCCTAATAATTAAAAGACAAAATTTCTAGCATCTTTAAATTTTCGTCCAGCCCAATTATTCACTTGGTTTCGGCCTAAAATTGGTCGGAGTCGTGTTGGGCTTCCAAGTCGCATTTAGCCCTTGACTTTCCTTTTTTCATTATTCCTATTCCTATCTGGGCGCATGCTGCGCCGCCGTACGCACACGCCGCGCGCCGCGCCGTTCCGAGTTCGGCAACCGCAAGTAGAGGCTGAGTCCATATACAACTCATACACTGAAGCGGATGTAATCGAACCCCTTACGAAATCCAATACCAATAAGCCAATAAACTAATATAATAAATACAAATATGAATCATACAATTTTCGAACCATCGGAGTCCTCTCGTGGACTAGACCGAGGAGGAAAAGTACAGAGAACCAAATAGACCGTGGTGCTTCAATTTGCCTTGATTCGGTTCTCTAGTCCTCTCGTGTCTCTTGATATAAACTTTAGCTAGGGTGTTTGATCCTCAAGTTAATAGACTCAGCTAAACTTTAGATGAGTTTAGCTAGGTTGAAGTAGCTAAACTCAGCTAAACTTTAGTTAGTCTTTTAGCTGGGTCGTTTGGATTTCTATCAACTAAATTTAGCCAGCTAAAATTTAATTGGTGATCCAAACATGCCTTAAGTTTATTGTGAGCTCTAAACTCAAATCAAGTGGACATCTTTCACCAAAAGAAACACATAACCAAAACCAACCCTCACTTGTACACACTTGTTTTGCTTTTGGTTTTGAAAAGGGATCACCAAGTATCACACGAGTTTGAATCTCACAGGGAACTGGCACGTTGTGAGAGTTCGAGACAGTATATGCAAACTGAAGAAGCAAAGTGAACTTGATCAACCATACTTTTCAGCGAACGAATAGTGCTTTCCTCTCACAATAAATCAGCATAAACATCAGTATTAACTAAATTTCAGCGAAACGAACTGGCAACGTGGACTGAACTTTGTCAGAGCGTATTATTTGTTTCACTGAGGATGACGATATCCATATATATACTCTGTTGTTGACAAACATAGCATACGGGGGACCGTATACACATGCAGTATGTACATGAACACGACAAGTCGCGAGACAGTCTCTTACGCACAGTACGTTCGTCCTTGGCGCGGACACACGCCGAGAACTGGACCCCGCAAGTAAACAAGCATCTAAACACGAGCAACACACCAAGCCAATAATGCAACTATGCAAGCAGCGCGCGCGCGCACGCACGAGCGGACATCCATATCACAGCACGAACATATACAATTCACACACGCGTACGACCGAGGACGAAGTAGGACGCAGCGGTGGCGCGTCATGGCTTAGCCTCCGGCTCCGGGAAATGGAACTCGGGAATGGCCGGCATCTCGGGCTTCGGCGGCAGCTCAACCTTCGGGAACGGCGGCAGGTGCACCTCCGGGAGTGGCGGCAGTTCGACCTTGGGCAGCGGCGGCAGCTCGTGTTCTGGCACTGGCAGCTCCGGCACGGTCAGGTGGGGCTCCCCCTCCTTGGGGGCCGCCTCCTCGAGCCTTCGCGCCGCGCTGCTCACGGCGGCGCACGAGAGGAGCAGGAGCGCAAAGGAGGACACGGTGGTTCTCGAGGGGGCCATGTTGTAACTGTAAGCAGTAAGCACTAAGCAGAAGCAGGTGTTCTGTGGCCTGTGGGGATGGAAGAGGCGAAGATCCATGCTGTACTTATAGCCCATCGGTAGTGCAGCTAGAGCTAGCTGCCGGACCGGACTTTGGTTGGTCATCTGCAGGCTGTGCTCCAGACCCCAGAGTCTATGCTCGACAGACGATTGGTTGAGAAAAAAGGATAAACGAGCGAGGGACGGTCTTGGTGAGTGCTCAACTACTGATCCGTGCAGCATGTCGAGTGCAGATATACGAGCAGCAGACTCTTGTTAGGCCATCGGTAAAGAGGACTGGGAAGCACCAACTGTGCACGAGAGTTGTACAAGCGTTGCCAGTACAGTGACTCAGTGAGTTCAGAAACTTGAGAACTGGGAAGCGGCCATGTCTACTGTGACTGTAATATGATATATAGTGCGGCTCTGCGTTCTGTTTCTTTTCTTTTCTTTTTCCTTCCAGTTACGCAGGTTCTGTGTCGACGACCACGTTACATCGTACAGTTCACGTTCCCATCCGTCGACCCAGCCAGAGCTAAAGATAACTGCGCTATCCACACAGTAAGTCCTAATAAGCAAATATCGTCGATCACATTCACAATCATATGCTAGGTTACTTTATACCACCCTGCCAAGCGCCAGGCGGTCAGCCCAAACTTCAACTATTAATTCATGATCTTGGGATAATACAGTAGTTTTGGTGTCGAATTCACCAAGTAACAAACAAAAAAGTTGATGAGCAAAATGTAGTTATCAATTGCTGTGGATCTTATGCATGCATGAAATGTACTTTTGCATATGCTGGCAAGCCCTGTGCCGTATCTTGATCTTGACTGAAGGGTTGCATATCTTCCCACAACCATAGAAGACATTATTTGACTTCTGGGGATGGCTTGTCAACCAACATCATCTGTGAAATTGAACAACACTTAGCCATGGCTAACAAGCACCTAAATGGTTCGACATGGACAAAGCAGAGTATGCAAAAGGAAAGAAATAAAATTCAACCATTCAAAATAGTGACCATTGAGAAAAGTTCGAACCTCGATTGCATGGACTCAAGAAGCAAAAGGAAGAACTTCATCACACAATTTGAATACCAGATGAGATACATAGCTTGGAATCAGCTCCGCCACTTATCACGCTGTTCCCTTTCCACCAGTCGGCACATAAAACCTGTAATAGCCAAAGTTAAATAAGCATATCATCCATTTCCCCTTCTCCTGAAACAAGGAAAAAGAAACATGGCACAAAAGAGTACCTTATCTTCGTGTGACTCCACGGATGCCAGTGGCCACTGAAACAGGAGCAATATCATCAGTGACAATTTTATGCAATGGTTCAAGGAGCAAATGAGGAAGATAACGATATTATTAGAATCATACTGCTGTTCTTAGGTCCCACAACATCACTTTCCCATCAAATGAAGAAGATACCAAATGGAAACAGGAACTTGGATGCCATTTACAAGCAGTGATCCAGCCTGAATGAGAGGAGAACTGAAAAACAGGAGCTAATGTTCCTATTCGCAGAGCAAAAACATATCAGCTAGTTTTAATATGGTCCAACAAAGATCGCTAAAAGATCTACAATATATTTACCAGGTTTGCGAGGGTCCCATACCCTCAACACGGGATCAGAACCACCAGCAGCAATCAATGAAGAACCCTCACCACCACAGTCCAAGCAATTCAAGGCCTTCCCACAAAACTATGAAAAAGTTTGGATGTAAAAGTGAAATAAGACAGATTTAGTTATGAAATAGAACATGATATACATAATAGCTTAATGGATCTGCTGCATTTAACAGACAAGAATTAAAGTAGTGATTTCCATTTTTGCATCTCCTTAGGCAAACTCAGGAGAAAACCTGAGCAAGTGAATTGGCATAGAAAAGTCTGTTTCCTAATCTAAAAGATGTCCAGGTGAATTAGCATAGAAAAGTTTGTTTCCTAATCTGAGATGTCCAGGTGAATTAGCATAGAAAAGTTGGTTTCCTTCTTTCGGTTAAGCTAGTTAAAAAACAAAGGATAAAGTCCATTTATCAACAGTCCGATTTTCAACCATGATCTATAAACGGATACGAACACCCTACAACTGTCAAAACCACACGAAACACAAACCTAAACCAGTGCAAAGTGGTTTTCAAGGTGGTTTTCGTTCCTAAAAATAATAAAAATCTGGTTTAATCTGTAAAAATTCATAGCTAATTTATTTTAAATCAGAATGATATGGAACTAAAGAAGGGCGGGCTTGGTGCAAGCGGTAGAGTCTTACCGCCTGTGACCGGAAGGTCCCGAGTTCGAGTCGCGGTCTCCTCGCATTGCACCGGCGAGGGTAAGGCTTGCCACTGACACCCTTCCCCAGACCCCGCACAGAGCGGGAGCTATCTGCACTGGGTACGCCCTTTTTAGAATAATATGGAACTAGAACCATTTTTTCTAAAAAAATATTATCTATCTATCGGTTCTCGGTGCTCTATTTGGAGTTACTTAGATCTTATTTGTTGTGTTCCTAGTGTTTTATGGCTTGAAGCAACGTCTATTATTTATTTAAATAGTTGTTTTGCCATCTACTTTATGTTCATTGCATGGCCAGCTGATTGCATAATTTTTTATGCACTGCATTGTTTGAAACCTACTACCTAATCAGGCAATCAATATAAAGTAAATTGCTATCCATGCAATGCCTAAATAGGATCTATAAATGTGGTCGAGCATGGCATCTGTGAGGTCTGCGTCGTGTTTCTATGTACTCATAGTCTGTCAAATTCTCTTGGTTGATCTAAGGTCTGATACAGTGCAAACAATAATTTAAATAAATAATGAGCAGGACTATGAGCGATAAAAAAAAATAGGAACCACTTTATTATTTTTATAAAAATCACATTGGAAACCACTTTGCACCAGTTCGGGGTTGTGTTTGTCCAGTTTCGACAGTTGCAGGGCATTTGGTACCCAGTTTTGTAGTTTAAGGTTGAAAATAGAGCTGTCCTGCAAGCTGGAGGTTGAAAAATGTACTTTACCCAAAAACAAATCATTGTCCATAGAGCCCCTTTGCAATACACAGATATTCTATTAAGTGAGTCGGGACTCATTTACTGAAAGCAACTAGATGGTGTTTACAGAATTTGGAATATAAAGATAAAGTTCATACCATATTCCATGTTTCTTTCACCGTTTGGACATCCCACTGCCTTACAGAATGATCCCAAGATGCTGAATATATCGTTTTCTGTTCAGGCCAGGTAACAGCAGTTACACCTTGTGTATGTCCCAGAAGTGTTGAAGTGGCTGAACCCTGGATTACAACAAGAATCCAAACTGTGTGATGAGTGGCACTTCATGAATTCATGACTGAAAAAGGAGAAAAGAAAAAAGGTACTAACAGAAAGTGGCATCTTTCTATCTCTCACAAAATCATGGTAGTCAATACACATTAAATCAATCATACACATGGATTTAAAAACCATCAGTTTGCCCGTTCACAACAAAACCAAATATCTGGAACTAATTCATCTAATCCAGGTACAGCACTAGGGAAACGTTAAGAGTTGGCTGCATCATGAATAGAAACCATTGATTGGCAGGTGAGTACACATAGAGTTTATCACCATAGGTCAGCACACCAAGGGCATACCAGTAAATCCCAAATAAGGTGATGAACATGCTTAACTTCTTAACTCAGTCCATCAAAGGATGGACATACTCTTATCTTGGTGCTGTGCATACAAGACTCAGGAATTAGGATTAGAACATAGCTAGTACCTCTAACTGAGACTCTTCAGGTCCAGATGAGTCAGAATTCATTCTTCTCTTCTTCAATGAAACAGCATCATCGTCTTCAGATCCTTCAACTGCCCACAGCTTGATGGTGTTATCCCAGGATCCAGAACATAGCTAGGTAACCAAAGAAAAAGTCAGAAGGAAATGTGGATATATATAATAAGTAAAAAAAAGCAGTAGCATTGATGCAGAAGGAGAGACAGAGTGATCATTACCATATCGCCAGAAGGGTCTGCGGAGATACTTTTAACAGATGCCGTGTGGCCACGAAGAATTTTGTAAGCCCCAACCCGCTTTGGGTAGTCCATACTGACGTCACACTTCAGGAGTCCAAGGCATAATGTAGGATATTATAAGAAAAATATTACAATGGAACAAACAAGACTTGAAGAAAGGTAAAAGGGGGCCACTACCTTGTATAGCCGTAGTGACCTATCCTTTGAGCCAGTCACTACATGCAGACTGCCCTCAGTTTCAGATCCTGTGACAACATCATTCATGCCAATCACTTATAAAATAACATGAAACTGCGAGAACGAAGCAGAAACATTTTTGGAACAGATGCCTTCATACAAAACAGTTATTATTTCAAGTGTGCTTACCTTTATTTATGAATCTGGCAGAAGTAATTGCATCACTGTGTCCCTCCAAAATTTGTGTACATACTGCTGCATCTTTCCATAATCTAAGAGAAAAATGAGAGGGTAAGGCATACAACATGTCCATACTAGCAAAAAATGTACCATAGTAATAAAAGGATTATAGTTTTGAACTATACATACCTTGCAAAACCATCATAGCATCCAGACAATATAAAACTGCCAAATGACAACTGGTTTAGCAGTAATACAAACCAAATGAAACTAAAACTTCAATAAAGGTTCAAGATATCAAATATTCATCTTTATGTTAATGCACGATTTATGCATATCTAACAACAGAACTGATAAATTCGACATTGAGCGTTATGTGATATATAGAGGTGACTAGTTCCATTTTATTAGTTTTATTATTCCAAAGGACACATGATTACATCTTTCTAAAGTGACCCTAGCTTATCTGGTGTATTCTACATTCTTACAAACTAATGTCTATACTGGTCACTATGATTAAAGATGGGCAGTTTGCCAGTTTAGGAGACAATTGGTTCAATGTAGCAAGGAGACAGATTTAATAGGGTATGTGGTCATCCTGTGA